CCTCCCGCCCTTAGTCATCAGCTAGGGCGGGTGCTGGCGCAGTGATGGTGGGCCACCTGCTGCTGCAGCTTGATTGTGCCGCTGCTCCTGCGTGTGCTTGATTCTGGAGGTGGCACCTCCATCTTGTGATGGATGGTTTCTGGCCCCACCACACTTGTGCCTGGGTGGGGCTGACAGAACCCACTTACGATGGGCAGTTCCTGCCACGTGTCTGTCTGCTGTCCCTTGGCCTCACCTTCCATACCTACCAGGGCCCAGTAGCTCACCAGTTGCTTTTCGGAGGCGCAGAATTCTTCCCTCCAGGTGTCCTGGCTTTGCTCCAGAACCCGGACTGTACTGTGATTCTTCCAGTGTGGCTACGAACTTCTCTCAGCATCTTTTCCAGCCAACAGTTTACTGAATTGTGTGGCCCCACAGCAGGGAAGGCTGTTCTCACCCGAGCCACACTCAGGGCTGGTGGCCTTTCACCCCACTGTCTCTGTAAATGGGCCGGAGCAATACTCGTAGGTGGGGATTGTGCTTCCTCCCAAACACAAAGAGGCCCATGTGGTGGAAGATGAATTAATTTGTTTCTTACTTTGGATGGGTTTCTTGGCACTCCCCAGACAACTGGCTTCTGAAAGTGGTGTGGCTGTGGTAGGCCCTGGTTCTTCGTACGGTTTATCTCACCCTAATGGCAGGGATGCAGTGGCGCAATATCATGTTCTGCAGTCTGTCCAGAAGGGCAAGGGCTTTGAATGTGCTGTGACAGGGACTGGGAGAGTTAACACAGGCCGGCAGCAAAACCGTAGTGGTGTCTGTTCCGTGCCTTACTCTAATTGGGACAGAAGAGAGTACATTCAGCAAACCAGTTGCCGTGTATATGGCACCTGAGGTGGTGTTACTCTGCTCTGACTCAGGACAGGGTTGTCATGAACATTTGTGCTGGTAATGGTGTTGCAGGGCTCTCTTGAGTCCCTGTTGTTACCAGCCCTCCCACATTGGATTTTCCGGAAGCAGATGCTAAGATGGAGTTTGGGGCACACGATGTTTCTTTGGGTTCTTCACCTGTGAACGGAAGAGGGTATAGCAGGATCGGGCAGAGGGATTGATAAAGCTGTGAGCCCCACCAAGCCCCGTCAGCCGAGGAATGAGCATTGCCCGTTGACTTGGGCTGCCTGGCGGGGCCTTTATCTCTGCCTCACGGAGACTCTCACTGTCCACTCTGTCCACAGGGGCAGCAGTCCTTCCCTGGGAGGTCTGGGGCGCACGTCTCTGTGTCTGTCACCCCCCCC